GGGGGGTGGGGGATTAAGACCGCAGGGGTCCAGTGGCATTCTCATCAGATCCGGTCCTAGATGTGAGCGCTCAAGCCTTACTGCACCTTGGTCACCCGGCGAAGGTGGTGTGGGTCAGGTTTCTACTCTGTCAGCTCCTCCTTTTCTCCCCGTCCAAGCTGTCCTCGGAAGGAAGTCACGTGGGGCGGCCACACAGGGAAGTCCTTTTGTAGAGTAGTGTAGCTACCCACCCAAGGCCTCAAAGAGCTCGTGGAAACCTGCAATTAGAAGATAATGATGTTTCTCCACGATATAGAGCTCGTGGAAACCTGCAATTACAAGATAATGATGTTTCTCCACGACCTTTTCAAAGTCCCCTCGTCTATTATTTGGAATTCTCCTACGTGGGAGATTTGTCTTGTCGCCAATCACTTCTTTATGAACTCATGGATGTTTATTTTCTGCTTTGGTTCTAATCCAATCCCCTCTATTTATTTTCTTGCTCAAATCAGTCCAGCTTGGGCCACTGGGAACTATTTCTCTTGGCGCCTGTGCCTCTTTGACGCACTGTAATCCCATCAGGGCTTCTCTCGTGGACCCATGAGTAATACATCTAGCATCTTGTAAAGGGCTCAGAATTCATGAACTTTCAGAAACCCAATGAAACAGTTCAATATAGTTCTAATGCAAAAGTTTATCACCAGGAACTAGATAAATGGAAACTGAACAATTAGAAGGGAGATGCTGGGAATGCTGACACGTGGTGCTACCTTGAAAAACAACAACCAGTGTTGACCACCAATTTGAGAGATTATTGAGCGGACCCAGAGCTGCTGTGGACATGGTCATTGGAAACACAATAAACTGTTCATAAAAATGTTTATAGTCCGGGGAGGAGACGAGCCAGTCAGGTTGCAGGGTAGCAACGATGAAACATACAACTTTCTTCTAGTTCTTAAATGCTTCCTCCCCCCACTATCATGATCCCAATTCTCGCTTACAAATCAGGCTAGACCAGAGGATGTACATTGGTACAGATAGGAACTGGAAACACAGGGAATCCAGGGCGGATGACCCCTTCAGGACCAGTGGTGAGAATGGTGATACCGGGAGGGTGGAGGGAAGGTGGAGTAGAAATGGGGAACCGATTACAATGATCTACATATAACCCCCTCCCTGGTGGATGGACGACAGAAAAGTGGATGAAGGGAGACGTCGGACAGTGTAAGATATGACAAAATAATAATAATTTATAAATTATCAAGGGTTCATAAGGGAGAGGGAAGTGGGGAGGGAGGGAGAAAATGAGGAACTGATATCAAGGGCTGAAGTAGAAAACAAATGTTTTGAGAATGATGATGGCAACAAATGTACAAATGTGCTTGACACAATGGATGGATCTATGGATTGTGATAAGAATTGTACGAGCCCCCAATAAAATTATTTAAAAAAAAGTTTATAGTCATAAGACATCCAATAAAAGGCCAACACTAACTCCACCTAATAATTGTACTCTTCATTATTAGCAGATAAAATGAATTAAAATTAAGCACTACTTAATTAAAAAAAGAACTAAGGAGCCCTCATGGCAACGTGGCTACATGTTGGGTTGTAATATGCAAGGCCGTCAGTTCAAAACCACCCGAGTACTTTGGGAGAAAGATTGGCCTTTCTGCTCCCAGAAAGAGTGACAGTCTCAGCAAACAGCAGGGCGGGTCCACCCTGTCCTATGGGGCCACGGTGATATAGTTGGCATTGAAGCCTTGGCGTGCGTCGAAGAGTTTTATGTTTGAAAAATAATATGAAGTTGATACAATGATAAATGAAGAAAGTTAATGGGTTAAAACTGAGTATAAAATAGCGTCTTGGGGTAAATTAATGGGGGGGGGGCTGTTGACAAGTCGTTTAAACTATGGAATACAAAGTAAATGCTCAGGAATGTAACCCCCATCTATCATACAATTTAAAAAGGTGATTTAACAATAGTGTTACTTAATCTTTCTGGGGAAAATGCAATATGTGAAAAACATCTTGACGTGGGAGACTTTTCTCTTTTTTGCCTCTCAAAGATCTCCAGCTGTTGAAAATTTTAATTCTAACCCTTTCACTCATTTGGGGGATGGTAGAGAGAACTTCCCATACTTTCCCTTAAAATAATCCCCTTTCTTCTCCTTTTTATGCTTATTGTAACTTTATTTATTTATCTTGCCTTTGAAAGAAAAATGCATTTTCTGGAGTTGCTTAGCCTGTCTCATCAAGCCCACTAGTAATAGAACCACATGAAACCCCACCCCCACTCAATGTCCGTTTCCCTCCTACCTTCTTTCCCTATCGCTCCCGCCA